CTCTTATATAGTACTTATGTAAAGGGCACAGACCAACAGGTTCTTATTACACGCTTAATGTGCACAAGAGCCTGGATTTCCTGTCACAAGTGAATCACTATCAGACAAAGCAAGCGAGACAACTCTGGTAATTTCACTAACAGCCAGATAATGCTTAACAATAAATATAATAATTGTTTTGATAATTCAAAACCGACTGAGCCTGTCATTTTGACGTCTCCGCAGCTTTCAACTTTTATAGTTTTAATGACAGGCGTGCCGTGCTCTTACCGGAGGAACCCCCCTGGTTTAAACTGTGAGACAAATAATATCCTGTATGCGATATATATACCTAGCATTTACAATAAAGATTAAAAATACACTGATAAAAGATGGGAGGGAAGACAAATAATGCCAGTGAAGCAGCTTCCCTTTGCCACCATTGCCTTATATTGAAAACAGCTTATTATTTAAAGCTTTGTGCAGATTGAGAGTGCTGCCTGCTTACACAAGAGTGCTCATCATCCACATGAAAACTGAAAATAATAAGAATGATTAAAACAACATTAAAAAACTTCTAAATCAGGGGTGTCCAGCTCCAGGCCTCGAGGGCCGGTGTCCTGCAGGTTTTAGATATCACCCTGGGTCAACCTGAATCAAATCATTAGTTCATTACCAGGCCTCTGGAGAACTTCAAGACATGTTGAGGAGGTAATTTAGCCATTTGAATCAGCTGTGTTGGATCAAGGACACATCTAAAACCTGCAGGACACCGGCCCTTGAGGCCTGGAGTTGGACACCCCTGGTCTAAATGATCATAGGAGTGACTGACAGAAAAGGAATTGCCCAGTAGGAATGAGTAAAAGTGTAGCCAGATGTAATGTGGGGAAAAGACTGAAGGATAAAGAGGAACGATGGAGAGAGGACATATTTTTAGCCGGACAAAGCAGCTCTCTGTCATGGGACGGTGTCTGATTTTGTGTGAGCGTGCGCACGTGTGTGTTGGAAAGTAAAGAAAGTAGAAACAAACACGCTATGGTGGTAACGGTGGCGGTGATGGTGGTGTGTGTGTGTGTGTGTGTGTGTATTCTCTATGGTGTGGTACCTAGTATTGAAGAGGGCAGGAAGCAACATGATATCTTGTAGTGATTCACCAGAAGCCTGTTTATATGTATACTATTTCTTAGGCACTTCATCCACTCATAAAGGTATAATATATCCACCAGTTTAGCAGCAACCCACACACGTATAATATAACTGGCTCTTGTTTTGTTTTGTTTCTGTCATCCATACTTTTTCCTTTACATATCAATGAGAGCAGGATGCCAGATTTACAAAGTCTTGTTAGCTATCAGTACATATGAATGGGATAAAAAAATATGATGATACAGACTTTCCAAAAGTTATTGAATTGGATGGATGATGAGCCTCAAGTTTTTAGAGCCTCATCTGTAAATCTAGGTTTCAGCTGTCTACTAGATCTCTAGTATTGTGCAACTCCCCATAAAGCCACAAAAAAGCACTATATATGCAAAGTTTCCAAGATCTTTACAGTTTGGCTTTAAATGCAACAAGCAAGATGAGTTAGTATATGGAAGCGTGAAGACCAGGAATGTTGTAGCTGTGGCAATAATACTCGAAAATGGTTTCAAGTAAGTCGTGTTAAGTGAGTTAAAGCACCGGAAACAGAAGCATGTGGCTTACTGAGGTAAGCAGGAGGCAAAACTGGCAAAGAACCAACAATAACAAGGTAACACGAAGACAAACAGGCATCTGGGCTGCTTGTAAATACCTAACAGGGTTAAAAAAAAAACTGCACACAAAACAAATGTTTTCGCTGTGTGTCAAGTGTCAAATGAGTACGGCACTGAGAATTACATTTACAGCTCATAGGCTTCAGGTTAATGGGGCACAAGTGTCATCCTAAGACAAGTTAGTGAGAAAAAGCTGTGGCCTTAAAGGTTAATGATTAAGAATCATCGACGTAGATTTGATGTTCAGTTAATTGTTGTTACCATAAAGTGCTTCCTCAAATTTCCTTCAGCTAAAATCCCCGCAGCAGCTCAGCACATCGATCTAAGTTAGCTCTCATTAAAAATGTTTTCGCCTCATTAGTAAAAAATGGATGCCTTGCACTCAGCGGCTCTCCTGAGGTATTTAGAGCCCTCTGAAACCAACAGCCTGATTTCCTGTCCATGCTGTGAGTAACTGTAAGTAAGTGACAGGCGAGGATAGGTTTCCGCATCCGCGGCGAGGAGTGAATGTGTCTGCTAATGGTTGGAGGAATGTGGGCAGGACTGGATGGACCAACTTGCTCTTACCATCGTTAATGGCTCCCTGGGGAGAGGGGAGGGTGGAGGATGGGGTATGACCAAGTGTTGTGGGAGTGCTTGTTGTGTTTGTCAGCATAATAAGTATTTATTGTTACACTTGCTGTGGTGAAAAGAGGCAAAACAGTAAAAGTAACACGGAAATATGTGATCTGCCAAGTTACCACTTGTATCTGTAGCTATATTTAAACTTTGCAAACCATTTTCCGGTCATATTGCTGTGCTGGGAATGTCCTAGTCCGTGGAGTATCAAACAAACTGCTACTATTTATGAAAAAACAACCTTGGTCTGGATGTGTTTGTTGCTGTTTTTCTTTTCCAAATAACAAAATCCTTTGATTTGATTTCATTAGAAATGAAGTTAATTCTTGAAATTCATTTATGTTGTGAGGTCACTCTTAGCGTTTCCGATTTGAGCAAAAGTGCACTGACCCGAGCTGCAGCACAGTTAAATCTGTTTAAATCAATAATTTAATTTCAAGAATGAATAGGTGAGTTTGTGTCATGCGTTGCTGCTTGACAAACTCAGAGTTTAAATCTCACTCTGCATTTCCTCTCAGTTTTTATAGAGGAAGCAGAAAGTTGTATTTCTATTTTTGGAAATAAGAAGTGCCCTATCTTGTGTTAGCAGACCGCAGATGTGTTTACCAGTCCTTCTACTGAGATATAATTTACAATTACTGTTACACAATGCTCAGAAGACCTTATGTAACAGCTCTCAGTCTATAAATGGGGTAGTTTCGTATTAGTACACATTTAAATAAGTAATTGCCCCGTAAACCTAATAACTGGTTGTGCACACCTTGGCAGTGAGAAGTTCAATCGAGCATTTGTGATGACTGACCATGAGTCTTTCACATCACTGTGGAGGATTTTTGGCCCACTCTACTTTGGAGAATTGTTTTAATCGGAGGGTTTTCCAGCATTAATGGGCTGTTTAATGTCATGCCAGATCATCTCAACGGGATTTAAGGCCAGACTTTGACCACGTCACTCCAAAACCTTCATTTTGTTTTTGAGCTACTCTGAGGTAAACCTGCTGATGTTTCTTGGATCATTGTGCTGCTGCATAACCCGAGTGAGCTTGAGTTTCAGGGAATAAACTGATGGCTGGACATTCTCATCCAGGATGTTTTGGTAGAGAGCAGAATTCATCGTTACAGCAAGTCATGCAGGTCCTGAAGCAAAAAAGTAGCCTCAGACCATCAGACTACCACCACCATGTTTGACTGTTGCTCTAAAGTTCTTTTTATTAAATGCTATGTTAGTTTTAAACCAGATGTAACAGGGATCAAGTCTTCTAAAATGTTCAACTTTTGTTTCATTCACAGAATATTTTTCCAAAGGTTTGGGGATCATTGAAATAGTTTTTAGGCAAATGTGAGAAAAGCTTTTGTGTCCTTTTTGGTCAGCAGTAGTTTCCTCTTTGGAGCTCTCCCATGGATGCCATTTTTGCCTCTTTCTTAATAATAATGTATACTTTATTGATCCCCGTGGGGAAATTACTCTCTCTGCATTTGACCCATTCATTCAGTGAAGCAGTCGGCAGCCAATAAGGAGGCACACTGGGAGCAGTGTGTAGGGACGATACCTTGCTCAAGGGTACCTCAGGGTAGCCGTTCAGTGGATTTGAACCCCTGACCTTCCAATCATGGGGTCACCAGTCTACCTACTGAGCTATCCCTGCCCTTATTGTTGAATCATGAACTCTGACCTTAACTGAGGCAAGTGAGGCCTGCAGTTCTGTTGTTCAGGGTTTATTTGTGACCTCCTGAATGAGTCTTGGTAGGCCGGTCTCTCCTGGGAAGGTTCACCAGTTTTTTAACTTTTCTACATTTGTGTATAACGGCTCTCACTGTTGTTCACTGGAGTCCCAAAGCCTTAGAAATGTCTTCGTAACTCTTCCTGACTGATAGATGTCAATGACTTTGTTTCTTAACTAATCTTGAGTTTAGATTTATTGAATCAACAGGTCTGGTAGTAATCAGTGCTGTTTGTGGCTTAACCCAGCTTTCCAAAAGCTCTGGTCATCACAGATAAAATCATTATTTAAAAAAATACATTTTATATTTACTTGGGTTATCTTTGTCAGATATAAAATCAAATATTAAATCCAATATAAAATTTGTATGATGATCTGACAAATGTGACAAATATGAAATAGAAACCTAAGACATGAGGAAGTGATGAAAATATTCCATGACACTGAAAGAAGACAGAAGAGGGAAAAACTGCATTTTTTCATTATAATTTTTGAAATGAAGCATTGATATTGTGTCAGTACTGCACATGATAATGTGTAGATTATGTGTAGATTATGATATTAATTATATAATAATAATATGTATATAATATTATGAAGTAGATTTTTGTTCCCGTAATGGCAAGACATGCAATAAAAGTTTAAATGAATTTCAATCATAAATAAAATATATGTTTTGATATTTCTTAAGTAATTAGCTCTAGCCACAGCACAATCACAAAGCTAAAGGAAAGGAAATACTGGACTGACATTCAGCACAGGGACGGCCTGCTGGGTATTAAAACTGCCAGCTTTCTCTTTTTAACGGTAAATGATCCAAGTGGTCAAAAATAAATGTTTAACAAAACTGTGAATGTTTTAATTTCCTGTTGCTGTTCTATCTTCACAAAACTCAAGAATTTCTCTCTGTGCATATTTGTCCTTTACAGGTCAGTCCACCACAGGGTCTCTATTTACTTTCCCCCCCACTACCAGTGATGACTTAACATATGAACCCGTACCAGAGGTCCCCACAGACAGCAGCAGCACCACCACCACCACCACTAGTGGTGATTCCCAGCAGCAGTTCTACAAGGGTCTGAATGATAAACTCATCCCCATCTACTGCTCCATCCTGGCAGCTGTTGTTGTTGGATTAGTGGCCTTCATCATCTTCAAGAGGTGAGGACTAAGCAGGAAACACACTGAAAAGTAGACATATTGAGCAAAATGCCATCTCAAGGTACCTGATGACCCACTGAAACTACAAGAAAAAAGTTTCAGAAACTTCAAATTTTGGCATCTGTCAATGTCATAAAGCCTAAATCATAACTAAAACCTGATGCTCATTTATGACCCTCATTCCCAAAAATATGGCACACTGGGTAAAATATAAAAACAAACAAACCCAGAATACAATGATTTACAACTCTGATCTCAAATTAGAGGTGTCACCTCTTCTTTTATAATCAGTCTGTAAATGCGTAAATGAGAGAGGAATTTTGTCCCATTCGTGTATGATACAGATTCCATCTGCTCAGTCCTGGGTTATCTTTGTTGTATTATTTTTATTCCCTTCATGAGACTCTAAGTTTTCAGTTGGTGAAAGGCTTGGACTGCAGGCAGGCCAGCTCAGCACTCAGACTCTTCTACTATGAAGTCATGCTGTTTTAATAGATGCAGTGTGCTGTTTAGCATTGTGTTTCTTAAATATGGAAGACCTTCCCTGAAAAAGACGCCATCTGGATGGGGGCATACGCTGCTCTAAAGTATTTATATGCCTTCCAGCACAGATGGTGCCTTTCCAGAATGTACGTCGCCAGTTCCACAGGCATGAATGCCGCCCTCTTACCATCAGACTTTTCTACTGATGGTCCCTCTCCTCTTTAGTCTGGAGGATGAGGCATCCATGTTTTCCAAAAAGAATTAAAGAATTAAAGAATTACAGAACAGTTTTTCACTTTCCTTCAGTCTATTTTAAACTAGCACAGAGAAGATAGCAGCATTTGTAAGTCATGTGTCTTTCTCAAATGCTTTAAAGCATTCACAATTTTACCTTTTGGAATATAAGTCTGAGTTATAAAAGACAGCTTCTCAGTCTTGAGGAGAAAAGCATCACTCAATTCACCTCAGTTACACTACTGGGTTTGGGGCGAATGAGGACTTATATGCATTGTCATCATCTGATATGTGCAGAAATGTAGAACGCACCTATTCAGGTCCTTTTTTTGGTTCGCTACATATGTGTGCTACGGTGACAACCTAACCTTACTGTACCTGGGAATAAAAGCTGATAGGAAAAATAAACGCATTAGTCTGAGTGTGCAGTTAGGTATGAGCTACAGAAATATTTGGAAAAATCATATCTGATTAAATTTGCCCTCATCTACTTTAAAACAGTGCTTGGTAGGGATGGGTACCGGTATCCGGTGCCATTATAGCACCGGTTCTGACATAAACGGTAGTAACCAGACCGAAAAGCAGCGCACATTTCGGTGCTTTATTTTCCTGAAATGTCATACACTTTGGATTCCAGCCAATCATTTTACCTTTGCAAGCGTAGCAGGCGGGCCCAGGTACGTACGTTC